GATGCTGATATGATATTTTTCTTTTTTCTTCCTTTTTTCCCTTGCGAAAGTAGTTCACCAACGACATAAGAAAATGAAGTTAATGTTGAATCAAGAGACTTTTGTTTAGAACATAGCAAGTTTAATAACTTTTTAATTTGTTTACTTTTACGTTCTGATGCCTGCGTGGTTTTGGTTGTCTTCTTCGACGAAAATCCAAGATCTAGCTGAACCATTCGATGCGAAATCACACTCTCTTCTTGCTTTAAACATTGGATAAATTTCCAAAGATTAGGATGAGTCTGAACAACTCGGGAAAAAAAGCGACGATTCTGTGCTAAAATTACAACAAAGCAATATAGATAATTCAAATCTCTGTAATAATCAGGATAGTCCTATCATGCCTTCAGCAAAGTTGTTCGTTCGCCAATTACTATCCGATATCGATCATAGCTCAGGCTTGAAGCTTTCCATCCATTGTTTTTCAAAATAACGAAGAAAGTCTTTCAATTTCTCTGCTTCCGAAGATTCTCGAACTCTCTTCTTTAACAATTTAAATCCATCTGATATATAATCAGTGGGAAGAAGAGCCAATCCCATAAAAGCGCGTAATAAATTCCGTATATCAGGATCACTTTCATAAATTTTCATTAGACCTTTTTCTTGTATATGTCGATAACACGATTGACACATGTGAAACGAGCATCCAGTAATATCCGATCAGGTAACTAGAAGCCACACACTTCAATGATTACATGCTTTTAAATCTAATGAAATATTAAACGAAAAATACGTACTTCTGATTGAACAGCGTTAATGAACGCTCGTTCGAAGTCACACACAATGGAATTTGGTTTCAAATCAACACCTTTTTTGTCACTCATTCCTTTTAAACAGCGAAAAAATCGCTTCGTATGTGTCTTGCTTTCTATTCGATGTCAGTATAAAACAAACAGGAATGCCTAAAAAGAATGTGAAAGTCAAACAAAAGAAATATTCTGTTTAAGATAAACAATATTGATGTGTACAGAACGAGCATCTCTCTCCATCTCTCTTCCGTGTGTCTTATCCACGTGCGTTTCTTCATTTCTTTCTTTTCTCTCTCTCTATTTACATATACGATGTTCATTTCTGTATCACTTTCTTTCTATTCTCCCTCTCACATACTCAATTTATTAATTGAAATGATAGAAAATTCGTACCTTCGCCATCTTGCATCCCATGCAATACATAGAGTTGATCGAATAACTTTGGTGATGCTTTGAAAGTGCCATCGGCAAATAAAAATCTGAGTGATATAAAACACTCAATTGTTCTTCAGACGCGAAAATCATAAGACGGCCACCGTAAATTGTTTTGCGTTTATCATAGATAAGAAACTTCTGATGTGAATAAGTTTCTTGATAAACTAATGGTAAATCGAACTTTTGGGTTTGTGGCAATGGTGGCAACGCTTTTCTACTTAACTTCTGTAAACCTGATTCTAATGAGAAAAAGTTGGCAGACAAAATTACATGACAAATATGATTTATACATACCGATTTGAGATGGGAGAGGCATTGTTCGCTTCTCTTCCTCTGATAGATTAGCCTTTCTATATTCTTCTTCGATTATCATCTTGATTGATTTGTATTTATCAAGAACACGATGTTTGATTTCGTTAAGGATCTCACGTTTTTGATTTTCACGCTTATCAGATTGATGACAATGGTACACACCATTCCATGCTTTGAGTTTTCCTGTTAATTTCGAAATATGTATAACGACTTTGCAATTCTCATTTCTTCGGGCGCATCGCCAGCCAGTTGCATCCTTTGACATACCCGTATATAGATACGCAAAACCATTCATGAAAACCATTTTTCCACCCCGCGTCGATTCATCAGTTATTATTTCTCCTTCGGTGACTGATACATGCATGGAATCGTTTTCATCGTTTTCTGATGATTGCAATGATATGACAGAATGATTATCATCTTCTTTCGACGGGGATGCTGAGGGAGAAATCGGCTTTGTTTCTGGAGATGAACATGCTGGTTCAACTTTCACATTGATTGCCTGCTGTACTACGACTTCATGAGATTGTTCATAGGTATCTGCAAGTGTGAGTACAGCACCTGAAGCAGTTGAAGAAGTTTCCACTGAAGGATCAATTTCAGATTCAGCAGAAGATGTTTTCGATTTTACTTGGAATTGTTTGTTGTCTTTCTTTGGTGTACGTTTTTGTTTTATTTTTTATTTTTTTCCGAAGTTGATGTTGCTTGATCTTGTGAACGAGTCAAATGGGCATTAGCTTGAGCTTTCAATGCTGCTGCACGAGTAGTAACAGGCATCGGATTAATAATGAATATTTGGAAAAAAACTTTATCAATGAATCTAAAATTGCAAACAAAAAGTCTGATCACATCATTTCCGACAAACTCCTAGAATGTTTGTCACGTTAACATCTCAGAGTAATAGTCCCACCATTCTTCAATCACGAACTATCAGAAGAATATACTGGCGTAGGTGCAATGGAAATTCGCCAATTGGCGAATGTCTGAACTGCGAAAGTCTTTTTGGCGAACATCCGATAACCCATAACAAGATAGAGTTGATACTCGATTTATGTAATCGTCTAGGGATGGCACTTTCATTTTAAAATGTTAACCTAACATTTTTTTACTTTAACTTTGAACTTAAAGTTGAAGTAAAATCACTTTTCACTTCAACTCAAACAATGTATAGAGAGTATCCAAAATGTTTCGGTTGTTCCTTTTCACTGTAATCAGATAACTTTAAAAAACTTTAACTTTAACATAGACTGAAAGTGAAAAGTGATTTTGCTTTAACCATTAAAGTAAAATTAAAGTCTCACCTCTATAGTCGCTACAAATAGTACAATATACTGATTTATTACTGTTAGCTAGTGGCGGCTCCAAGACCCACCCTGATTTTGAAAAATTACCGCAGAAAACAAATATTTACACTATGAAAATGTACGATTTTTGTAGTGAGCCCACCCTGCAATTTTTTCATATGCTGAACCCACCCTGGATATTTCTAATTTTGAGTAATCACAGAAATTTTACTTCTTTTAGTTGCTCAATTTCTGCTAAAAAATTTAACTGATGAGGAATGATCCGGAACTAATAAATTGCTTTAGAATTCGGACACTGTATATCGAGCAGAGTCTAATGATTCGCGAAAGCGCGAAAAGCTTAGCTACTGTCAGACCTTCTTAGCAGAGTTAGAGTCGTTTCATTGAAATTTCACCCTATAGCACTGTACGTGCAAAAATCTACAATGACACTGCTGAGACCTGAAATTTCGTTCACACGAAAGTTTATTGGTATCTAGAATACCCCGAAAAATTCATTTCAGAAGTATGTTTCGTACACGAGATGTATAGGTCTCGAAAAGTCATCGTATTTATGAATGTTTTGTGGAGTATGGGCCATTTTTCGGACCTACGTATCTCGTGTGAGAAACATAGTTCTGAGATGAAATTTTCGGTGTATTCTAGGTACAGTCGAGTCCACTTATAAGAGTCCCGGATAAAAGAGCGATCCGCTCTTAAGAGCAGTTTTCAAATTCTCCGTTTTTGTCTACAGCAGTTTATGTACTGACGAAGTCCGCTTATAAGAGCCGTATTTTGGCGTTTTATTTCGATTTTAGTTCGCATAAAAGAGCTTGTCTGAGTATATGATTATAAATACGCACTTAGGTTCTTCTTCTTTTCTTTTTTGTTAGTCGTCCGTCGAGGATTCGCCCTTTCTTTTCATGCATATGTGATGGAATTTTCCTTTCCATCGTTTGCTCTTAATATAGATCCTCATTTTTCGTTGGATCTTTATTTTTCAAAGAATGGTATCTACCCACAGTAAACGTTGCACATTATCGATTGAACAAAAGTTGGGAATCTTGGATGCACTCAAGTCGAAAAGGCCAGACGATGTGGCTAAAGATTTCAACATCAACTATTCTACGGTGAAGAAGATACGACAAAACGAAGAAGAAATCGGTGGAGCGCTTATTGCTTGGTTTCATCAAGTAAGAGCTCAACATGTCACGATCAACGGACCGTTAATGTTGGAAAAAGCCAAGGAGTTTGCGATTATGCTCGGGCATCAGGATTTTGAGCCGTCGCTGATGAAGCTGGTGCAGAAAACTGGATAAATAATGTCTTACCCGGAGTGATCAAATGCTATGGTCTGAATGACGTATTCAATGCAGATGAAACCGGTTTGTTCTACACAGCAGTACCATCGGGTACTCTATCCGTCGCCGGCAGTCATCCTACTGGTAACAAAACGCCAAAAGATCGAATAACTGTCCTCTTCTTGTGCAATTCTACGGGAACCGAAAAGAAGGCCTACGCAATTGGAAAATCCAAGCATTCACGTTGTTTCAAGAAAGCTCAATCTCCGTTGCCATACTACAGCAACGCGAACGCTTGGAGAGCCAGTTGGATTTGGTCGGATATTCTGCAAAAATTCGATCGCGAATTTGGTAATCGAAAAATCCTGCTTTTCGCCGATACGCCTCCTGTCATAAGATCGATGAAGCCTTGAAGAACATAAAAATCGTTTTTACGCCACCGAACACGACTAGTGGCGGAGCCAGGATTTTATGATGTGCTGGGTCTTCGTTTCAGAGCATGGATCCCACTTAAAACTCATGCATGATAATATTGGTGGCAAACTATGAGTTTCTATCGAGCGCTTTTCGCGATCGGAATTTGCTAAAAAAGTTAGCATTTTCCTGAGTCCCCACCCAGAAAATATTCAATACTGTCAGCATTATCTTACTTTTGAGTATGCCGCAGCAGGCTACATCGAATTTCATCGACAGCTTTCAAGTTTCATGTCAAAATGAAAATGAACAAATAAAGTCTTCTTGTAATCTATTGGCATTTTTTGTTCATAAGGAGTATCGAGAACGTTTTGTCGTAATGTTTCGTAATTATAATTTGTTAATGGTTCATTAATATTGAATTTGTGTAGTAGACGATGAAAGTGTTGATCGATAAATTTTACTGGATATTTATTAAGTAAAAGATCCATTCTTAATTTACCACGTTCATTTGTATAATCTTGAAATGTGGAACAATACCGAATTGCTCTAAGTAACATAGTAAATGGTATGTTCTGTTTCATATGTAATGGATGAACGCTATGAAATGGTAAATAATATGGTTCATAGGATGGTTTATGATAAACGGAAGTTATTAAATTGCCATCTTGATTAATAATTTGTAAATCCAGAAAATTAATTGGAATGCTTGTATTAGCTTTAAGAATAATATTCTCATCGAATTTATTCCATCGATCAATTTGTTGTAGTAAATGACGTTGTGGCCAATTAATTATAATAAACAGATCATCAATATAACGAAAATATAAACCAAAACTGTTATGAATTTGACGAATAATATCTTGTTCAAAAAAGAACATATAACAGTTGGCTATAGTTAGAGTAAGAGGAGAACCCATTGCTCCTCCTCTTACTTGATGATAATATTGACCATTATACGAGAAATAATTATTTTGAATCACGAATCTAGCTAAACGAATAATCGCTTCTGTTTTGAGATCTTTAATTTGTTTTAATTGAAGATAATCTAACATTTTCTTTAAAGATAAAACACCTTCAATTTGAGGGATCATTGTATAAAGATCTGAAACATCTATTGTACATAATAAAGTCTCTTGTTTCATATGAATGATAGACCATTTTCTCAAATGTTGAATTAATTCAAAACTAGAAGTAATAGTGGTTTTTGAAGCCATTCGATTAAATAATGGTTGTAAGAGATCATCCAAATATTTCGAGATCTTTATTGTGGGATGTTTAAGACCGGTAACAATGGGTCGAAGTGGAGTATCTAATTTATGAGCTTTTGGTAAATAATAGAGATGAGCTAATTCAACTTCATCTGTTCCAATACATAATTGCTCATATTGTTTTTGTGTAATCCATTTAGCTAGACGTAAATCCAATAGATATTTATTTGTACGAATGATAAGATCTGGTAATGGATTATTTGTACCAATACATTGATAGGCTTGTGTACGATCCATATAATCCTTTGATTGCTTATCATAATGTTCACTTGTTCCTAGATGAAATACTTTTGATTTATCAGTTTTTCGAAGAATTGTATTTGTTGACCGAATTTTATATTGAAGTCGTTTAATTATACGACGATAATTCTTAGTCTTTTCTTTCTTCTTCTTCTTTAATTGATTTGTTGTGTGTGAAGAATGTAATTCTTGTAATATCGAATCTAACTCTAATATAAATTGTTGTACTGGAGGACCGGGATTGACTTTATGTTCATGAAAACAAGCTTCAAGTTTTCGTTGAAGTGTAGTTAGTTCAATTGTACGTCGTCCTATAGCTGTTTGTGGATTATTGAAGATGAAACGAGGACCTAATCGAAGTAGATATTTTTCATCTTCAGTTAGATTGATATTTGTCTGTGCTTGATTAATTATATTTGGACCGATAATGCAGTTCCTATGATGGGAACATAAGTCTGAGCGTCGATCCTGTTGTTGTTGGTGGTGATTTCGCTGTCGACTCGATATTCCTCTAAAAATGAACTGCTTGTTGAAGTTGTAAATCGTATCGTTGAAGACGTAATTTATGATAATCTTTAAATGCTTCAAGACAAACTTCAGGATCAATTTCATTGGTATCATCTTTTGGAAAACCTTTAATTAATTGATCAATTTCATATTTTAATAATTCTGCATCTTCAGCAAGTGTATTTGTAAATACTTCCATTGCTTCTTTATGATAATTCATGGTAATTTGATTCATTCTATCATAAATAGCTTGTGTCTCTGCTGGTGTACGAATTGTTTTATTGAATTTAAAATTAAGATTTGTTTTGGCAACAAATTTTGGAAGAATATTAAATCTTAATCGCTTATCAGCTGTATGGTAATTTTTATTGGTCGTATGCCATACTTTAACTTTTGTTCTGATAATTTCATGTGCACAGATTTGATTTGGTGTTGCTATTTGTTTAAAATCTTCAAATGATTTATATTCAATCATTTCTAATTTAGCTAATTTAACACGATTTTCAGCCATATTTCGTATATGTTGAATATTTTCTTCAATATAATTAATTAATAATTTATCGACTTTTTGAATATCATTTCGAAGAAATTCTGGATCTGTGTGATTATCTATACTGGTAGAAGGAGCAGTAGTGGTATTAGTAGTAGCAGTAATAGTAGTAGCAGTAATAGCAGGAGTAATATTAATATCTGGTGCACCTGCAAGAATAATCATATCTGCAGGATTATTTGAATTTGTCATTGTTGTTTTTGTTTGTTTTGAACGCTTTTTTACCGCTGTATAATTCCAATAATTACCTAATTCAATTTGTAAACTAGTAATTTCAGCTGCTTTCTGATGAATTTTAGTTTTGAATTGGGAAAGTTTCTTATTAATAAATTGAAAATTATTAGCTGTATTTTTTCTATTATTGGTTCGATTAACAATTTCTTTTGCCCAATGTTTAGATTCTTGAGCTAATTTCAAATAATTTTCCCATACTTGGTATTCATACTGTGTTCGAAGCCATTCATCATAGATTGGAGCCGCTTTCATAAGATAATTTTGATTACCAGGACTTTGAATAATATCCTTATTAATTGGATTATCAGAAAACCATTTAAATATTCGATTACTATCAAGATAGGATCGAATTTTTATTTTCTTATTACTATTAGTTTTCTTTTTATTATTATTATCAACAGATGTTGGTTCATTATCTTCATCATCATTTGCTTGTGGTTCATCTTTATCGTTGTCGTCATTATCTGTATCAACAACAAAACGAATTTTATTTTTATTTTTATTTTTATTTTGCTGCTGCTGTTGTTGTTGTTGTTTACGAGGGTGAGGGTGTGGGTGAGGGTGAGGGTGTGAGTCAAGCATTCTACGACGCGTTTCGACTAGGCTTAGTAGTCTCATCAGGTAGTTTCGACTTTGTAGTCATCGTTAGGGTGTGGGTGAATTTGAAATGACGATGTAAAGCAATTCAAGTCAAGCAAGCATTTCTTGTGTTCACGAATGCATAGAGGGCATTTGAGTAGATATATCCACAGAGACACGTTCGAATAAGTGCGAGAAACTTATTCGAAAAGATCATGAGATCAAAGTAGGACTCCAACCCACAGGTTCCGATAACCGGTCGGCTAGTCTAAGAATTGAACTGTTTGAAATGTCACTTCAACTAGTTAATAACTACATATCAACATATCTGGCTGGATATGGTGCATGTATCGGAACAAAAGTGAAGATAAGATACACTTGAATGAAGTCCTGTTGCTACACGAGGACTAGAAAGATCTATTCAAGTAAGTAGAAGAAATGTTGACAGAAGGAAAACAGAACTGGGTATCCACGATAAATAAATAGTATTTCCTAAAGCGATATTAAGATTTACCTGGACAATAACTGTCAGCAAAACAAGATTGCAAAGATTCTGATGAAATGTTTGATGTACTAGAGTTACACACGGCGCACATTCAGTTAATTCCACTTCACAATATTCTTTATGTAAAAATCGGATTTATCCAGAAAGAAACGTGTGTGTGTGAAATTCCCGACTTGAATGCAGTTATTAAACTAGCAGTTCGAGCATTCCGCTGTTTCTGCTAGCTGGGCGTTCCATAGCACCCTCACTATGACCATGCCTCCACACCTTCGCCGTATACACCCACCGTGACACCCACACTATGGTCATACCCTGCCCAAACACATCGTCGCTGTATACACCCACCGTGGCACCCGCATTATGTGGTTGTCGATATTGCCATTAGTTCGATAAGCAAGTGTCTTTCGTCAAAGTTCATCGTCAAATTCAAGAGTGGTACGGCTTAAGTGATACAGGGCCCAAGCGAATTGCATGTTGGCTTGTGATTTATGGCCATGAGCGTTGAGGAAGTTATTCGTCGAAAGCAGTATGATGATCAAAAGCAGCCGTTGAATACTGAACAAGACCGAACGTTTCATGATTATATCGATCGGAATGGATTAAGTGGCGATGGTGGTGTTGTTATTGACTGATGCACGTGCAGCAAAGGTAAGTCTGATCATGCTTGTCTGTTCGGAAAAAAACGATTTTCTTGAATTTCTTGGTATAGATAATGATATTGCGTCGAATATGTCAGCATCAACGGCATTGGTATCGTGTGTTCCGTTGTGCTAACAACAGTTGTAGAGGACCATGTGGTAAGATGCGAATCGTTATGCTCTTTGAAACGTTCTCTCGCTCTCTGTTTGNCGGACGGGACGGGACAGCAAGTCTATAGGGCGGGACGGGACGGGACGAAAAAATCATGGTCCCGCCGGTCTCTGATGTATAACTCGAAGAGACAGTTCGAGTTTTAAACTTCTAAATTTCTAAATTTCTTTCAGTTTAGAAAGGTCACCATGTGTGTAGCGAGGAAGAATAGCCAGGTGTGGATGTAGGGGATGGTGCGAAGAGTACATCTCAACGTGAGGGTGCACAGGGCAGATCTTAGAATGAGGGTGAAGGAAAGGGTGCGGAGGGCAGACATCAAAATGAGGATGAGTGAAGTTGAAAGGAGCATTAAAAGTTTAAAACTCGAGTACTCGAATTTGAAACTGAAGGAAATTTAGAAGTTTAATACTCGACTCGAGTTAACGATTTCTACACTACTCAAATTGGATATAAATATAAACTATACTTGTCTTAAAAGATGGCGCTCTCGTATGTCATATATATATATTGTTCGGGCAACGTGATGTCGCCCTGCACACTCATCTATATTCTTTCTCGTCTCGCTTCTCGATATATATATATATACAGAAGATAAGAATGTTTCATTTTGTTTTTTATATGTTTGAAGAGACATATTCTTTCAATGACACATATGTTTTTGTTCTTTTTTATCAGATAAAAAAGAAACATGCCTCTTTTTGAAACTATACCAATTGATGTTGAACAAGTTCGTCAACTTGCTCGTGATCATTGGAATGTGGAATTAGGTGAATGTGTCAAAACTTCACAAAATCATACATTTCTCGTCAATAATGGTATCGGTGAACGTTTCGTTCTACGGGTGGCACCGGATCCAAACGATAAACGATCCGAAAGCATCGAATTAGAAGTGGCTCTATTAGAATATTTGTACGAACATAAACTTCCTGTATGTCGAGCAATTCAGAGCTCAATCACTTCTTCTGCCATAGTTCGTAGCGATGGTTCCTTGATTCTTTGTCTCTTTAGATTTGCTACTGGAGAACCTATCGTTTATACAGATTGGACATGGATAACAAATCGAGAGATTGTCATCGGTCTTGGCCGATGGTTTGCTCGTCTTCATCAACTTACACGTCGCTTTGTTCAAGAACAACCAGTACTTGCTGCTCGTGCCCGCTATTGGACTACGATTCATGATGGAATACTAGCCAGTGTAGAAGTTGACGAACATGACAAGAAACTGATATCAGATCCAGCATATTTTGGAATTATTCATGGTGATGTCATTGCAAGTAATTATTATTGGGATTCGACTATGAAATTGCCATGCGTGTATGATTGGGATGAACTACAACAATCGTGGTTTCTTTACGATTTATCGGCACCTATTTGGGGTGTCATTATACTGGAAAAAGCCGGTTCACCTATTGATCAATCCGTGGTACCGCAGGCTAATTCAGAACTTTATACAACATGGTTAATCGACGGGTATCAATCAGATGGAGACAAGTCCATTGTTGATCGTGCAGCTCTTCAACGAATGATTACAATACGTCGAGAACTTTACAAACGATTTTGTCGACAAGCTTTAGCGGAATTATCAATCGAACATCCAGTAGCACAATTTTGTAAATTTATGGCTGATTTTTTTGATAATGAAGAAAAATAAATGTATATTTATAATTCACATCTTGAGGGTGTAGCATTGCTATGATGTAACAGACAGATATGCTTTATAAAAATGGGCACAGGATCATCCTGACCTGTGCTCATCTCTGATCTATACTATACTCTTCACTGGATTTGATTGATGAGTATTTATTTGAAATCGAAACCATTAAATTACAGTAATTATTTTGTTTTATATTCATGTAGTGATTAAATCAATACATAAATCAGAGCTTAACTGAGACGTTGTCGAGGGTGTCGATAAATCAATGTTGGATTATGCAATAAAAACACACCCAACGCCCATTGTCATTGTGATCCTCCACACAATTGATCACGAAGAAGATGAATAAGAAAACAGAGTAACGCCGGATGTCGATGAGCACATTCAATATGAATAAAAACACAATAGGCACTAAATCCTACATCCTTTGTTTCTACTTTACGACCTAATGGTGAATAATTCAATCGACACATGTATATGATGTCTTCGAAAAAGCTTCTCACAAGACGAATAATCGCTGCCACTAAACCAAGAAAAGCATCAAGAAAAATATTGAAATATAAAAAGATCATGAAAACACGTCGATTGTTCAATGATAAGACATTCAATCGTTGTTGTAGAAAAACATATCTCGCAAAGACTTTTTTTCTTACAAAAGTCAGTCTAGGGCAGGTATTAATAAAAAACGGGAACAGCACGAACTTCCAGTGTCCATGATAGATAGTGAAAAAAAATCGGGGACAAATGTAGAAAAATGACCCCATCGATACGCACACCCAGAATTTTTCTTATTGTTTATGTAAATACTCCAACTTGATCCTACGAACACTCACAGAATTTCACAATCGACATTCTGATATAAATATATGCTATCTTCAAAAAATATGTTCCCAGAAAAACCCACTGAAAACATTCAAAATCGTCTAATAGACGTCTGTAGATATATATGAACGCCCAAAAGGGTCATAGTAACATGTTAATATCTTCGTTTGTACGCTTACGAACACGCTCAAAAACGTTTGATCTCATCATTGATATGTCATTCTCACAGTATAATAAATGAAATGATGTGAAAAACATACCAATATATAGAAAAAAAACAACCCGCAGAAACAAGCTAAAATATGAAAAAAAACCTCTAGTAATATTTGGATAAGTTAAAATAATAAAATATATGTAATATGAATCCCCGCTGGCATTACAAATAAAGTGAGATTCAATTACCGGAATGTGGTTTATAATCTTTTCCTATCTTTTTGCTTTGAAATCACGACACACACATAAAAATAACTACTACAAGACGATGTCAAAGATATTAATATTCACCAATATTGATAAAAAGAGGGCTTTCATAATTCGCTTGCCCCAAGCATCCTCTTCGAAGTGAAAAAGTATATCCCTAGAGATCCGAGGAATTTGAGTGAATTTGCTCGATATCTAACCAGTAATCGAATCCGTTCATCGATGAATGGATGATTCCATCTTATGAGACGCGAGGAATTTGAGGAATCGCTCGAGATCTGATTGATGATTGGAGTTTTATCGGATAAGTGTATATTTTTTAAATATTCCAGGTGTAACAAAAGTATATATTCAAATTGACAATAGGTGTCAATGATCGATTTCAAGATGCTTTGATTTTACACAGCGCTACAGTAGTCGTACTATGAAGTACTAACATGATCTGGTCTACGCATAAGCAGACTTTCCCGATACCCTCACTATTGCCTTTTCCCTCTAGCGGAGCCGTTCCTTACACCCTCAATTTGTGCTTTGCCTTCTGGTCGGACCTTCTCCTATACCCTCACCCTCACCCACACCCACATCCTCACCCCTCACCCTCACACCCATTTCCAAGACGGATCAGTGCTTATGAATCTCTTGATATATATTTTAATTTAAATCAAAACATAAAGATAGGTTCAGCTAGAATATACAATTAGACAAATTTATTTGATTAAGCTAATAAGCAGTCGGTGTAACTTTGTTTCGATAAAGGATTTTCATTGTAAATGAAACAAAGCGAGGTACAATAACTCGCAAAACTTTATTTAAACCACCTATAATACCAAATAATATTGTTGTAATATATGTAAATTCTCTTCTAACAATAAATGTATAAGTACATGATGAAACATTACATGATTGATAATAAAATGAATGTGAAAGTTTTTGATTCCATGTTTCTAACATTAACTTCGCGAATAAATCGGAAAATGTAGTATTTACCGTGTAGGAACTATTTTCATTCGGATTCAAAGCAGAAGGGAAAACATCAGTTGCATATAATGGTACATTCATAGCAGATACGACGGCACGATCAATACATTTTTGTGAATAAAGACATTTCATTGATGAAAGAAGAACACTGTCAAGAATATAACATCCAATAAAGAAACCATCAAATGAAAATCTTGGATTTAAATTATCTTGAGTAATCGCTGGTATAATACATGATGAAGAAGTTAAACAGTTACAATTTCCATAGCGTTTATTAGTTAAACCTATTGTTCGATTTGATCCTGTTTCATTTGCCAAGTCTAAATCTTCCACATTGAGATTAGTAAAGGAATTTGACACGATCTAGAATATATTAAACAACAAATAACTCTCATATTGCCCTAAAAATCGAACGGACATGATGAATATTAAGTGAGATCATTAAAGACTTTTCTTGTCAAACACAATGTGAAAGAGAACGATGAAATATTTAAGGGCGAAATTTAGATTCCACACTCTTTTCTCCAACAGACGTTATTAATATCTCTGATTCACACTTATGCTTATAGATAGACAAAATCAAAACAACGCTCCGAATATCCGAAAATTTCTCACGTTTTATAGTTTTTATCTCTCGAAGATTGTGTGACACAGTCTTGTTCTATCGTACTCACTTGATTTGCATATGTCACATCCCGAATAAGTTTGATCAAAATATTGATTTTTTGTTGACTAACTTGTATCATAGCTTGAATAAGAGGTTCAATATGTGCTTGAAGTTGTTCTTCACTTAAAACTTGATTTGAAATTAATGTTGCCGATAAAAATATATTCACTTGTTCTTCAACTGTTTTCCGAGATAAATCACAAAAAACTCGAATTGCAGTAAATATTTCCCAACTGAATTGTCGATAATCATAGAAACGGACAAGTAAAATTGTCTGATGTACCAATAAGTCTAAAAATCTAGTTTGACTAAACACACTTGAACATATCTGATGAAATTTCGGTGAAAATGATAGAAATGTTCGATAAGGAATGTAAATATTTGAACATGAACATATGAGATTTGATGAAGAATATTGTTTATTAAGAGAAAGAAATTTATTATAAGATGGTTGATTAATTTCCACGAAACGTTCAGTAAATGTTAGAGATGTGTAAAATGTCAATATAATAAGAATAATAAGAAATAGAATAAGAAAAATTCGTGTTGATATTATTTGGTTTCGTTTTAAATCATTGAAATGACCAAAAGTATTGATCGAATATATTTTCTTATATTGAGAATTAATAAAATTCCAAAAATTTCTTCTTTGAGAAATGTTTCGATTAGTTTTTCTTATTATATTCCGTAGAAATTGAACAACAATCTTGATAAAAACATGAAGTATTCCCATAATTCCTCCTATAAAACCAATCATTGTAAGAATAATATCTATAAAACTTTCTTGTGATTCTTTTTTATATGTACATGTTTGTGTTTTACATTTCTTAAAATAATTTTCATATGATATACTTTTCGTATAAGTATCGACCATTAATGTGTTCAAAATGTACGCAATGGTTGCATTTTTTAAATAATTCGTCGGAATTTCCAATGGACGATATAAAATATTTTGAATATAATTGTGAAATAACTTAACATGAATAATATTATAGAAAGAAAGAAGAGATGAACTCATTAATGCTTGTAAAACATTACAATTTGTATAGAATTGATCAAAAGTAATATTTCCTAATTGATTCGAGAATATACATTTCCTGTTATCAAATGTATGATCAATTTTGTTAAAGAAAAGAACAGGTTTATTTAAATCTATTACACTCCAAGCACCTGATGGTTGAAATATAGCATCATTAGATAAAAGATTATTAATAGTATTTGTATCAATCATAAGATTAATGAAAGTATTAAATGTTGAACATGCAACTGCAATTGTTTGATTAATAATCTCATTTATTTTAGTTTGAAATTGATTTTCAAAGATTAATTCTGGACTTAAAAAGTGAGTATTATCCAATTGATCAAGTGCAAATTCTAATGTTTGTTTTGATAATTGACAAAAAAGTGAAAGAATATAAAAGCGCTTTTGTAATATTTCAGCTTCATAATTATTTGTTGTATTAATTGTATTCAATAATGTTTGATTAACAAAGTCACTAGAACATATTGGATGAAATCTAGGTTGTATTCTAATAAATGTTTTGAATGAAATCGTTATCATTGAACAAGAACATTTCAATGACGATTCATTTATATTACTGATAAGATTAAACGAAGGAGTTTGTATTGTTAATGTTTTAATACTCATTGATGTAATATGATATTCAATTGAAATACATAATATTATCAAAAGTAATATTATATAAATACGAGTTGATAAAAATTCATTCTGAATATCAAATTCTGTTCGAGAATGCACTGATTTAAATAAATTGATTAGACGAATTCGTTTTATTAATTTTTGTCGATTAAAAAGACGAGGTAACCGATGGATTGTGTTTTGATCTGGAAAATTATATAATTAAAGATAAGTTTCTCATAAAAGATTATTCTTTTTTTGTGAAAAAAAAGGCTGTAGGTATGAATATGCGTACTGATAAATTGAATACTCACGCTGAAAGAGACTCAGAATCTTTACTACAGACCTGAAATCAAGAAATACTTACGATTGACTGTTCGAATTCGAACAGTTTTTTGCTTTCGAATAAATTTTATAATAATAGGAATAATGCAAAAAAGTGTTGTTGTCAATCCACCGATGACACTCACTATCGTTGTAGCAATAAGTAATATTGATCGACGATCTTCATATGAATAAGTACATTTTCTAACTTGACAAGCAGTAAAATAAGCTTTATAATCAACTGAATGATACCAATCGTCTACAAATAATTCATTGATGAGTAGTTCAATCGAATCTGTCGCATGAAATTTCTTCGAAGGTTGTAAAATAATACTTGTATTCAATTCAATATAATAAAGTAATTGATTTAGACACGACATATTATAAAAACATTCTAATGAAGATGATAAAAGAGATTCAACAACATAACAACCAATTTGAAAACCATTGACAATAAATGTTTTATTATTATCATAGATTATAGCAGGTGAAAAACATGAAAATGATGAGGAACAATCGCAAGTTCGAGCATATTTTTCAGAATGAGTGGTGAATTCCCAATGACAACTGTATACTGCTGAACGAAATTTCTTTCGGCAAACTCGTCTTTCACCGATGATTTTATAATTTGAATGAATACCCGATATGAACTTTGAAAAAAAAAATTCTATAATAAATATCGAAATAAAAACATTGAGTCTAATTTTACCTGATTAATAAAAGTATTTACACGAATTATTTGTAATGAACTAATAAAATCATTGATGATTATTTGAAAGAATCCATCAATTAGCTGTTTCACTCGACTATGAAAGTTTGTTTCATCAAGCAAGAAAATATCCACAAATAAGGTATTATTGAAATCAATTAAACGCGTTCTTAGAATTTCTTTGGCGGAAAAACATAAATGAATTAGAAGACGAAATTGCAATGCAGCTGTGAAACGAAAATCATGATGATTTGATAGAGATTCTGTATATTTGAATAAAGCGTTAATTAAAGGATCAAAATCAACAGAACAAATTGGATGAAAAGTAGTTGTTATTGAAACAAATGATTGATATGGAATTGATAAATTTGAACATGGACATTTTAAAGTATCATTATATTGATAATGAAGTTTTCGAAATAATTCATCATTTATACCTTCAATTGATGTTGTCATAGTAATAGAACTTAATGATAAATATAAGATAACACTTAAAAGAATAATTGGAAATGTTAAAATAAAAATACGTGTTGAGATGTATTGATTTTTGATTTGATGACGATTATTAATAACATAAGGATTTCGAAAAAGATTCAATTCACAGAAAAATCGTCGTAATTTTAATATGAACATTCTTGAAAAATGTTTTTTTTACATCTGTGAACTCTTTCGCCAACGATGTTCAAAGATAAAATACTGTTTGACATCGACAAATATGTTCTTTTATTCTAATTCATGTTTTTCTTTATCATACAAAAAACCAACTGTTAAAACAATTTTTTCATGATTAAATGCGTCATAAGCGTAGTCGCTGCTACAGAGATTATTAATTGTTATCGCAATGTAAAGCAGAGAAACGCGTAGGGGAAAAATTTTATTCTTAATATTTTAATATTTCATCAGAAAAGTCAAATCTTCATGGAACGAATTCAACATAGATTGGTAACTATTAGGTAAGTTATCATTGTCTTCAAAAGAAGTTTTCCGAATTGAAAACGAAATCTTTCTCATTTCCACACATCTAAATGTGCACAATTTTAATTAAGTCATAGAATAGTAAATCATTATTTTGTAATTTCATATGAAAATTCATCTTATCGATTGACGATATGAAAGCATTACAGTGATATTTTACTTTAATGCTCATCTATGTGTTAACATCACGAAAATTTGTAACGTATTCCTCTAAATCTGGGAAAAGTCGAGAGTACATCGGTGTCAGTATGGAGCATTGAAAACAGGTGAAATGAACAACAGTAAATTATACACTTTTTAAGAGATACTTGTCGTAGAACAACCACATTCATTTTTACAGAATAAGATAAAGTAACATCCCTATTTGCTAAACACTTTCTATTAGAGAAAGAATTCATAATACATACTATACTTAGTGTTGCTTACTCTGATATATAATAAATGTTAGGAACGGCTATCGACGACGTCGAGACGCGTTATTGTACGGAAGTACACTTGGCCTTTTTTTAATCATTATGATTGCTGGCATCGTTCTTCTACGAATTCTTGGTAAGTATCAACTGATTTCATTGGAAAAATTATTTGAACAATATGTTGTTTCTATACGTAGTGATACCAGAGAAGAACTTGAAAGTTGAGGTGGATGAATCCATAATTGATGGTAAGAGTGGAGATATGAGATAAGTTTAATCGTCATATCAATCCTGATGATTATTTACATTCTATTTGAGCTTTAACATGTATTTCAGAAACGCATACAACATCGCCGACGACAGTTATCGGTAAGACAGAAATTTTGACAATATTCAGTTCCTATTAACTTTATTTTGATGCAAGTTTTATATTCTTTTCATTAGATATCTCGTATGGGAAAAGTCAATTTCATATAATACCAAATCAAAATTTTCCGCTCAATACAAGATTAACATATAATCGTGAAGATGAAATATTATATTTTGGATATATTAAAACGATAAATATATCTTTATATCAACCTTTCAATATGTTCAATACAAAAGACAATCATCTTTATTTTATTACAATCCTCAACGATAGCATTTTATCTATTTGGAATGTTCGACCGGCATTTGGCTCTATTTCACTGATATTTGAATTAGAACCATGGAACTTAATTGTTAAACCTGGTTCATTTTTATGTGTAGTTACTGCTACTAAAAACATAGATATCTCAACCAATGAAGTTGATGAAGTACGTCTAACTAAAATAAATGCTATTGAAACAGGTAAAACTTATGTATCATATTATTATGATCCACCATATTCAAATATTAAATCACAATGGACTGGAGAAAACGCCGGGATTGCACTATCCTTTACTGTTACTCACGATCGTATGTTATTGATATTTTTTGCTTATTTGTTTTCTTAAATTTTTCATATTAAAGCTAAATGGAATGGAACAACGCCACGACCCATACTATCTGCAACAACTGAGACAGTTTCAGGTAATAGTTTAATTTCAACAGAGTTTTTAAACCTTAGGAACAATACATACGGGAGACAAGCATAACATTTTATAATACTTATAAAGGACATAATCTTGCGAGCGGGGTGCTATGATATGATTAACTGTCATTTTTCATCTTCATATTTATTCACAGCATAATGCATTAGATCGAATAATTACTTTATCTTTTATTGATCAAATAGGGAAGAAATTTCTAGTTCTATACTCATATATTTTTTATAGCTTGAATTACTATAATTGAATAGGTGTACATACACGTAGATGTAACTGTTCCATTCAAATTCACATTATCTTCAGATAAGTTTCTCAAAACGTTTCTGTGAACTTAGTCATTGATTAATATAAATCTACTGATAAAGTGTATATTTTAGAGTTTACTTTTGGATCAATTGATGAAGGTATTTTTAATGAAAGTTTACCATTAAATTCGATGAATGTGTTCAATTGGGAAGATGTATCTGATCGAGAAGGACATATTATTACTATCAACATAAGATTTTGTTCACTTTTTCGACTAGAAAATACATTAGATGGTCACCTTTGGTTTTTTATAACTGATATAGCTGGATTTGTGTACAGAAAATATTCCGTTATACCGTCTACTACATTATTCACTCAATCTTTTCCAATACTTAAGAGAGATTTTCTTATAGAACGAGGTCAATTTTTATCAGTTGGAATATTTTCAAGAGGCTTTAGTGAAAATATTACAGTGTGTTTACGAACGACAGGACATGCTTATTCGGGCCAACTTGCTGACAGTATAAACGTATTCGAAACTAACACAAAATGGGCAGGATCAGAATTCGGTATTGCCTTTAGTTATGTTGTCCTTATTGATAGTAAGTTCTATCGCATGTATTCATTTATTTATTTATAAGAATTTTGTTATCTTTTCTGTACAAAAGAAGGAACTTCATTGATATTTTAGGTTTTTGATCGCGTTAGAAAATCATTTAAATGGCATTATTTGATCATCGGATTACATTTTAAACAGATGCATGACATTACATACAACCTCATGTGCATTTTATTGTCTTGAAACATTCTACTTCATATGTATTCCTACTCATGTATGAGTCAATTTATTTTATGTATACTCTCGCTAATTGTTATTGCCTAAAATGAATAAATTAGGAAATATTTCACTTCAGCTATTCTTTGCTACTAGACTGATCTTTAACATTGATGCACACAAGAGATCATTGTGCTGCTTTCTTGTTTGTAAATATGAATAAACAGCAATGAACAACGAGAAAAGGAAAATTAGACTAGCAGAAGAAATGTATAGCAAAAATATACATATACGATGTAAGTCTGCCTAATTAACCATCTATTTACTGTACTTCTTTCAAAATTTGTGATATCTTACCTGTAATCACTAAAAGTATGTACAAGTGCCCTGAATGACAACATGTGCATCAAGATCTAAACAACCGCCATAATGATCACAAGTTCCAGGGAAACCAGTGTTATTCCAATCAGTAGAATTGTTATTATGCGCAGCATAAGTATTAGTATGAATAGTCCTAGAACAAGTCTCATCAGCACCGTCTTCACAAGATATCGTCTTCTTTGAGTCCGACGATGGAATTGATAAAATAAAAAAATACATTATTGTAGATCACTTAAAGTGTAGTAAAATAAATTTCTGTTTCAATTAGGAAAGCATATAATTTAACCCTAGTCCTTCCGTTCTTTTTTACGCAAGGCTAGTATCTAGACAAAAGGACGTTACTGTTATACCGAACTTGATATGAAAATACTAACAGTACGTTAGTTCTTTATTTAGAATAGTTAATACAAAAAATTTGCTTGACACAATGTCCATTACAAACAAATGCAGAGCACTTATAACATTCGTTTGAAGTTTTTCTGCCCGTAGATGTTTCATATATTGAACATCGTCTCCATCTGAATTTTGTGAATCTCTTTTCGGTACAGAATGGCCAAGAATAAGCAAAGCATTTTGTATATCTTTATGTAGAAAATTTGAGATTTTGAACGAAAATCCGACAAAGGTGTTACTAGACTAAGTCCGGATTCTTCTAAAAATAATCGTCGTTAATATCTTTTATTTTCACTCCAAACCGGATTTTTCGAGTTGCATAAGATAAAAGCATTTAGAGCCGTCATATCTGTCATGCCGTAAAAGATACAAAGTGGTCATAGCCTTTTACCTCTTTTTATCTACAAATGGCAAAATGAAAAGATAGAAAAAAAAATTAAAAGTATTTATGATACTGTATATTCGTAGCACATTCGATCGACAGTATCAACAGCTCCCTTGGTTTCATTATAATCCAAAATAATAACTGGTTTTCCAGTCTTATTATCCACCTGATTATTGTGCTGTTTTGAAGAAAGTAATAAGACATCTCTGTTGTTTTTCGGCACGAAGACAACTAAAGTTAAATTATCTCCAAAACCAGAAAATGATGAACCAATTTCGCAGGTTTTGTTAGATAAAAATTCTATAGATATTTCTGGTTTATTTTTTTCGTAATGTTCCTATAAGCGTGAGACTCTTCGTTTCAAGATTTTTTGCCAATGAAACACTTTTAAAGAAGTTGTCGACTGTTACATTTCTGTTTGAATCATAAAATGGCTTGAGCCGTTCTAAAACTACACTTTCACCTACATGTGTTTGCTTTTTTTGGCCGGGCTGTCGTCCAATGTAAGAAAATGCGCTTAATATATAATACGACTCTACATCAACATAGCCAGAACTTTAATCCACATTTGTCAGGTTTCTTAGGAATAAATTCACGAAATGAGCATTTTCTCCGAAATCCTGGTAGTTGTTCATTGATGTCGATGTTAAGTCCCGGTGCATAGCATGTTTTTAATTTATCTTGAAAATCTGCCCAGATTCCATGAATTGCAGCCAGTGGAGGTCTGTCTCGGCAGGAACCTAGTCCGATTGAAAAAGCATTCGAATACTCACCCATCTCCCATTACCGCCTATATGAATTATGACCTAAACTAATGGCTAATATTATTTCATCTCCTTAGGTTCTCTTTCATTTGTGCGTGTTTACTTAATACTTGTGATACATTGAGTGAAACCATATAGCTATACTATAAATACAAAGCAAATACATATGGATTATTTAGACCGAATAGATTGAAAGGTAGTGATTAGTGATATTAAATTCTACTTAGACGGTTAATGTTGAGAAATCATAGTACTTCAAGCGCTAACTCTTTCGTATTTGCTATGTCTGTTGACTTAAATAAGTGTCATCAACTTGATTCCATCTAACAGAAGATATCATTTCCCTATACCTGTAAACTCACTGCTTTTTCGATAAGAGGAAGCTAATTTCTTTTCTAAAATTCAATCTGAAATATAAAAAACCATACATTCAATCTGAGCTGGAACGAATACCTCTGTGAATCGGTCGAGGAAAAACTCCAATCGGGCGCTAACATATCCTACGTTTGTTTTGTTTCTGTTTTATTTCAAAACTATTTTCTTTTTTTTCGGTAAATTAATTTTTTGTTTACAACTAAGAAGTCAATTGTATTCGTCTTTGACGATCAATATAATTCAGCAGTGTTGAGTGAAGTACTACCATCCCATCCACCAGTAACTAATATTGTTCCATTGGCTAACATCGATGCAGTATGATACTTTCGCTCAACGTTCATATTTTCAGTTGCTGTCCAAGTACCTGCCAACGGATCATATAGTTCAGCACTCTTGAGAGCACCGCCACTATTCCATCCACCAGTAACTAATATTTTTCCATTGGATAACATCGATGCAATGTGATATCCTCGTTCGACATTCATATTTCCAGTTGCTGCCCAAATACCTGTTGATGGATCAAATAATTCAGCGGTGTTGGTATAACTGCCACCAAGCAATCCACCAGTCCATCCGCCAGTAACTAATATTGTTCCATTGGCTAACAGCGAAGCTGTATGATATCCTCGTTCAACATTCATATTTCCAGTTGATGTCCAAATACCTGTTGATGGGTTATATAATTCAGCACTATCCAAAGACGAAATACCATTCCATCCACCAGTAACTAATATTGTTCCATTGGATAACAGCGAAGCTGTATGATATGCACGTGCGACATTCATATTTCCAGTTGCTGTCCAAATACCTGTTGATGGGTCATATAATTCAGTAATATCCAAAGAATAAATACCATTCCATCCACCAGTAACTAATATTGTTCCATTGGATAACATCGATGCAGTATGATATCCTCGCGCAACTTTCATATTTCCAGTTGATGTCCAAGTACCTGTTGATGGGTCAAATAATTCAGCGATCTTGTTATAACTACCAAAAACCAATCCACCAGACCATCCACCAGCAACTAATATTGTTCCATTGGCTAACATCGAAGCTGTATGATATGCACGTGCGACATTCATAATTCCAGTTGTTGTCCAGTCTAAAGTGAGATTCATAAATGAGAAAGTATAGTTCTATATAAGAATACTAAAAAGTAATTTGAAAGAAACGTCATACATGTATCTATTATAAAGCAAAAGTTTTCAAAGGTTTATTAGACTTTTCTGTAGCGTTCGGACTATATAATTATAACGACATCAAAATGATAAGATAATCAGAGTTTATCATTACTTAATAAGCCTTTTCCCAACAGGTATTATTCGCAACAGTACTGCATACATGAAAAAAGCTCAAAACGATTTATAAACGAATATACACACATCTCAATGAGAGAGTTATATTTGTCTCTTTTATTCACAGTCGAAATTTTTACATATGGTAAATTCGTTGTTTGCATTAGCTTCTATCTCAACAGGTTACTATTAATAATCTCATACATACTTGGTTCAGGACTCATTGTTATAGCAACAGTCATTGTTGTTACCAGTGCTTGACAATAAGTATCTGAATATAAATAGAAATCAGCTATCGGGAATACTCATAATAATAAAAAATTTACTTTGATTTTTTCGATAACAAATGACACTTGCTCGAATGTTCCCAGATGATGTTATATTACCTATTTGACAATTTTCACCAAATAATAGACAAGTGTGATTATCATGATAATATACAGCTGTTTGACAATTATCTTGATGAACACATTCCCATATACAAGTTTCCATTGATGTATCATTTGCAAATGTAACGTTTTCAAATAAAGTACAAGGAGAATTAGGTTGATAAAGTGAAGATCGATGAATTAAAGTTAGAATGATTGCATTAGTCGAAGAAATCAACAGAATAAAAATCAGGAAAGAATACATTTTCATATGCATCCCTGTAGTTTTATGAGGGTGAAGAGAATAGAGATATGGGAACGTAAAGACAATGTTAAGTTACATATATGCTATTGAATTTTTCATCCAAACCGATGAAATCAAATAAGACAACTTCCTGTTTTATGTGATTTTGAGACTATTTAAATAAGAGACTGCAGACATACATATATGTTAATGTTTACTAACTATTTAAAAGTCTTCCATGAATTGTAAATTTACTGAAGAAATTATGCCATTAAATATTTGATAGAGAAATGTCGTATTCTTTTTTTATTTTTATTATATTGGAAAACATTTCACAATTCATCATTGGATTGCGAGAAAAGAATGTGATGAAATAATATTTACTTTTGTTTAAGAATATTTTCAAAATTTTATTATCTTGAATAAAACATGACTTCTACAGCTATAGATCATAAGTGACCACATACTCAATTATTTTAAAGTGACACATTAGATGTAATTCAGTCAATTGTATAACTTCGATCATTCCAGAACAAGTTTTACTTTCTATATCAAAAAATAAGATTATATGAAAAAAAAACAATCTTTTTAAATATTGAATAATAGTTTATCACCTTTTTCCATATCTCGCGTAAATGTTACAATCATAGAATAAGATCAAATAAGCCGAAATACATATTGATAGATTGAGAGATAGAAAAACACAGGCATAATATTTTACTTCTTTTATTTAATTTTAAACCTGTTGCTGTTTCTAATATTTCTTTTTGAAGATATATTAAAGTTATTTAATTAAGTTTATATTGTTGTATTTCTATTTATTACAATCATCAACAGACAAAAAGATGCAACGAAAAACGTTTCCCATGCTATAGTGTTATTTTTTCTCGAAACGTTTGTCATGCCTGTGTTATTGAAAAATTCATTTGGCTACGGCGGCTCGTAATATATACGGACTGCGCCTTTACAGGTAGCAGTGTTCTCATAATTTCATTTTAAATCGATCTAACATTACTGTATCTAGCTATGCGTCACTCTATGTATCATCATGCTTATTCATATACTAGCTCTTGCACACTTAACCGCTCGGAACCGACTGAGCCACAGTGACTTGGACACGTACTATGCAATGTGGTACTGTTGTTGACTTTTTCGAATTATTGTTTGATGAAGAAACGAGCAGCTACCATGACTTTTGTAATGTCGATACGACACATAATACAGCTTCTCACTAAGAAAAGTGATTTTCATCGAACCGTACTGGAATGTATCCCTTTCTCGCTACAATTATGCTGACGTCTGTGACCAGGGTGGGGTGTGGGTGTGTATAGGTATAAGTGAAACTAAATCTATTTCTGTTCCTATGTAGATAGGGATTGTAGTGTGCTAGGAATAGGCCACTTATATAATAAGTCGAATTAGGCAGCTACTCTTGTTTTCCTTCCATCTTTGGACAAATGAATTGAAAAGGATTAAAAGGAAAGAACGTGTAATAAAATGGCTTCAATTCGACGTCGATTATGTTGCGATCTAAGTGTGAGTTTTTATCTCTTGCTTCTCTATTTCTTTCAAAAAAGGATGAGCGCTACTTGTTTTTTATGTTAAATGCATATAGAGGTTATTGTATCTTCAGTTATTAATTCTGTCGAAGGTAATGCGAGTCAACCTTGACGAACCTTGTTTATTGAGTATTCAACGTAAAAGCTCATAATCTTTGTTTCTCCTATCCTTTCGATGATTACATTTTTATTAACTTCTTTAGCCCTATAAGATATAAATAAATGATTTTGTTTCTTCCCTTGAAACATTAATACACTCTCTTTTCAGTTCGCCTGAATCATTCATTTATAATTTAATTCGACAGTAATGTCCTTATGTGGCAATATTGTGGAGAAAATATGATTTGCGATCGATGAGTACCACAAAAAACAGACCATTTTTATCGAACAATCGAGCACATTTGATACCGTCTGAGAGTAAATTAATGAATCTTGAGGGTGTGGATGTAGGTCACTGATGTTGATATTGCAGTAAAAGAAAACTTATAAACGCTTCAATCGCTTGTAAAGAAATTGACTTGAGCAGATTGTTGATCAATATTGAAGGCAGCTGTTAAAAGTACTAACGGAACATATTCAATGATTTCAACAAGAAGAGAAAGAAGTAATTGTCGATCATTTAATCGTCGAATGTTATTTTTATTTGCATTACGATGTGCTGGACGAATATATCCTCGAAGAAGATTTCTTAATGCAATTGTACAAATATAGTGAAAAGAAATTACGAAGAAATTCCATGGAAAACAAAATAAAATATATTCACAAACATTTTGTAAATACCTAAAGGATAATCTCATGTCGAAAACAGATGGATACATTTCATTAAATGTCTACAGATAAAAGAAAACAAATATAAAAGTTGATCATTCTTACGGTCCGCAGCAAATTTCCATTACTTCATTAGCAAATACAATATGAATAAACTTACATCATGAATTCTAAATACTTCTTCATTGACTCGTTAGTACGGGTGAAATCTTTCCTAATGAAACTAAATGTGTTTACAGTGGAATCTGTTAACACGACAGATATCTTTATCACTAACGAACAGAAAATAAATGAAACAAGTGTCTAAAGGATGTTTTTGCATGGTTGATGCGTGAGAAGCCGCTTTTACAGATCGTACACGTGCATATACACTTTTTTTTAAAAGTCTTTGTCTGTCTGAGAGCGAACAAATAATATATAATCATTCTTATACATTTAAATATGAATGTCATTGATATTTAATCAAGTGTATTTTTTTAATGACATTTAAAAATTCTTCTTTATAATTTTCGGAAGGTAAAATAAATATAATAAAGAGAAGTAATGGCGGAATGAAAGAAATATAATAACCACAAAGAAACAACCAAGGATCCCGAAATGATTTCATACATCGTGATATAAATAAAATAATTAAACGTGGTATAGCTAAAATAATTAAAACACATGGAGATATAAGAAGATGTTTATGTTGTTGAATATGTTCTAAGAAAATTGTTTGAGATGGTGATGTTTTCTTTGCTTTTGAACGTATTCGAAACAATTGAATAATAATAATTATTGCAGATGAAACATTTATCATAAAAGGCATAAAAAAATGAAATGAATTTATAAATTTATCATAAATCTTCAAGTTTGTTGAATATTTAACAATACACCACAATCGTTTTTCATCTTTATCATTAAATAATTGTCGAGATATTGGATCATGTATATAACTAATTATTATTATTAATAATAATATGAGTATAATATATTTTGATGTAGATTTACTTTTTCTTTTATTAAAACGTACTCCTTGTACAGCAGCCATTACTCTTTCGACAGCAACACACCCGTTCAACCATTCACCATAACTAAGAAGAATTTTTAATAAAACATCTATTAATATACAATTTATTAAGATAAATGAATGATTTGTTATTGTATTCATTTGAAATATGACAAGCTGACTATATTTTATAGTAAAAAACGAAACTGTCAATAAAGATACAATTGAATTCGTTAATAAATATAATCCACAACCAGTTGAAAGTATAGTTTTATTTCGAAATGTTAATATTAATAAAGTTCCATTAATCAAACCTAATAAAAACATACAAATTGTTAATGATGCAGTTATTTTAACTGCTAATGATTGTTTAAGAAATGAAATTGATGGTTTAATTTGATAACCAAATATAACATCAAGTGATATACTGAAACCTTCTGTGGTGAATTGGCATTGACTTCCATAATAACAATCTTCACATTTACATATTGATCTTATTGGACATTTAAGATTATCCTGAAAACATTTACCCTTATTTTCACAAAAATTATGTCCTTGACAATTATAAGACATACTATGATTAAAACTCCAACAATTCGAAAATCGATTTTTATCACAAATACATATTTGTTTTTCATCATAAAAACATTTTAATTGAACATTTTTCAAACATTGTAATGGATAATATTTCATTCGACGTAAATCTTTATAATTAAGTAATGTTGAATTCATAAGTTCATTTATATTTACACATAAATGATCTTTTCCAATATTAGTAGAAATATATTCACCATCATAAAATGTTTCTCTTAATACACCAAGATAATAATGATTGAAATATTCAATAATTAATACATGAAATGGTTTATTGAAATATAATGAAATAGAATTTTGATCAAATGGAATTTTTTTAAACGTTGTTGTTCGTTGATGTTCTCGATCTTCAAGTGCAGTTAAAAAATGACCAAATATTATTAAAGGAATTTCATCTGTTTTAAAATGAATATCAATTCGATTTGATCGATATTGACAATACGATCCTGTATAATCTTCAGTACATAAACAAAGAAATTTTTCTTTAGTAATACGATCATTTCCAGGTATACATACACCATTATTCTGACAAAGATTATTTGTTGATTGACAAGTTAAATGCTTCAAATAACATTTTGAACCAAATTTATTTAATGGACATAAACAAATAGATGCATTTAAATGAAAAGAATCTAATGAACATGTTCGTTCATATGTTATATTACAAAATCGTCCTGAGTAGCCTTCATGACAATAACAAAAGAATTTTGTTGAATTATTAATAAAAGAAAAACATTCGCCATGATTTCCACATTGAATTGGACAATTGATTAATTCTTTGGATTTTTCTAATGGAATTTGAATTTGTTTTGCTAAACGATGAACTGGTAAAAATGGAAATGGATTCGAGAAAAACCAACTTCCATAATAATTCATTGTTAATTTTTCATATAGAGCAATATGTATTGAATATATTGAATTCAAATCTTTTGGTTGTGTTGGATAAAGTAAATAACGATTATATTTTGTATCACAATCAATCGATGGAATATAATTAATTTTTTCATAATAATGAATAATTTCATTTTCATTATCAATTAAATAAATAAAAAATTCATAAATTGGAATTTTTTCTTCATAAAATCCAAGTGTTTTGATTTGAATTGTTAAACTAATACGTTGGCTTTGCCATTGACATTGTTTACCAAAATAATTTGGTGGACATAAACATATCTTTTCGTAAGATTTACCTTCATATATAATTATTCCACGATTACAATATTCAATAAGATCTTTTTTATCATTAATTATTAATTTACTTTCATTTAATTTTGTATCATTGATTTGTTCAATTGATAATAATGTCGAATTGATTTGTTTTGGTAAATATCCCAAATTCCATGTTGAAACAAAATTTTTCTCAAACATAAGAGAATTGAAATTGAATATATAACATAAAGTTTCATTGGAATATAAATTCGAATAGAATTTGTGATATATTGGAATTGTTGAAAAGAAATAAATAGGACAGAAATGGTTTTGTTGAATATTATTTGATTCATCTTTACAAATATCATTTTTTGTTAAACAATTTTCTTTTTCTTTCCAAGAAATATAATCATGATTGTTATTAATTAATGAATTATTTGAATAAAATATTTGTCGATAAATATATTCCGATTTATTTTCATAACAATTTATTGGTATTTCATAGATAAATTCTTGTGCTATGCAATGATATTCATTTGGACGATCTGTTGAACATTTATATTCGTTTATTTGACAATTCATATTTGGACAATTTAATTCATCAATACCATTCGTACAATGATAATGTCCATCGCATCGAGTATATGGAGTAAGACAAGGCCACCATTCACAATTTGTTATAGTTGATTCATTATCTTCTTCCAATAGTGGTACAAATGTACTACAAAGTTTGGAAAAAATCGACTGAATGTCGTTGATTCGTTCTTCATCTTCACCATTCTGACAACGAGGAAAATCAAGACCAATACCAATTGGTGATAAACATTTATTTTCTGATGTACAATTAAAACGTTGACTTTGATTTAATAAACAGCTATCGAAATAGTTTTCATCTTCATTATAAAAACAATCATTATATCCATCAATAAGACGATATTTAGATATATATTTATCCGAACGTTCACAATAAAATAAAGATGAATTTGAAGAATAATTATTAATATTTCCCATTAATTGACATTTATTTGCATCAGATGCTAAATATCTATCTAAAACATGATGTACTGGTTCGTAGAAACTACTTTGTCGACAATTTAAATCAATAAATATTTGATTTGTTGATTTCGATAAATAATGACATGTACGAGGATCATGACAAATATATTGTGGTGGTACTATACCAGAAATATTTAAATAAAGAACTTTAGTTGAATAAATAATTTGAAAATAACTATAATAAAGTGGTTGAAGTGGAAATGATAAATATTCTAATGAACAATTATTTGTCAATAGCCAATCTCCAGCTAAACATTCTTCTTCTGTATGTAAATCATTTTGAAGAAGATAATAAAATTTCAATTTACAAAATAATAATTCATAACAATCAATTGAGTATTCTTTAGCAGATAAGTAAATCGCACGCTTATAATGAAGATCACGACTTGTACCTTTGCATCCAGCTATTTCACGATTCATAATATTAAAAACACGACGACTTTCTAAGCATTGTCCATCACCACATGAAAAATAACCTGGATAACGACACATTGTTTCTTCACAAGCGAATTTCATTGAATCCGTACAATTTAGATAAGCTCGTAAATTTGTTTCAAGTTTTGATTGATATATTTCATTTTCATCTGAACCATCTAAACAGTCATGACTGCTCCAACTATCATGAAAAAAATTTAATGGAATACATTGTGCACCATTATGACAACGATATTCATCTTCTTCACATTCTTTTAATTCAAGCTGTTCACAATATTTTTCATCAATACCAAAACTTTCATTAATACAATCGATTTTTCCATCACAAATTTCACGCCAATCTAGACACATTGGTTTAGGACCACGTAGACATTCAGATAAATATGGATAACAGGTATTTATTACAAGTTCACGTTCATATTGGATACGATTGGTAAGAGAAGCTTGAACAAATGTAGAAAACGATGTAATTGAAACATTTAAAGCAAATGTATATTGACAATGTGAACCAAACCAGTGTAGTGAACAATTATTAAATATATAATCATCAAATTGTGAATTATTTTCATTTAAATAAATTTCATATTGTTCAATAATATCGATTGTTAATGACCATTGAAGAAGATCTTTACTTTGAATCCCTTTTAAACGTAATGATTGGAATGTATGATTATTTTCTATAAATCCTTGAGTATCATTCCATTTCTCATCGATTGAAATACGACGACAATAAGGTGTTAAATCATTTGTATTAATCAATAAATTATTATCGGGAGCATATTCATTAATTGAATGAAAATAAAAACAATCAAATATTCTTTGAGAATATGGATTATTGGTATTAAAAAGAAATGAATTATCTGATTTTATCGTTATAATTACGAATAAAATCATCAAATATCGTATGTGATTTGATATCAACATCATTCCAGAAGAAGCTCTCAAAATAACAGGGTTGTTTTTTTAATATTATACTCTAGATATTCGATTCCGATAGGAAATAACATATGGATTTGATTTTCTACAAATTTAATCTTAATGTTATTGATAAAAAAATATCAAAACTTTCGAGCATCTGTTATTTAATTCAAAATATCATGAACGACATAATTTTACGCAAAAAATATTCTAGTTTATACTGCTTCATACAGAAGATTCGAGGGCGTGGTAAATCTCAAATTGTAAATCATTTCTGGCAAGATTTCTACTCTTTCCATCAAAAATTTTCAATATTCGACAAGAGAGAACACTCAAAAAGCATTATTAATCACTTGATAACCTTTATAAATAATAGAGAAGTTCAAGCAAATATCAATGAAGATTTCGTTTATTTGCTAAATAGCCATAAAATGAATTCTTGTTGAAAAATTGTGTTAATGACATAATGGTATTATGATTTCGTGCTATTTGATGCGCATATTTTGATCAAATATATATCTTTCAATGAATTAACGTATAATGTATTTGAAAAAGATAATGTAATAACTGTTTTGTAGACGTGTTTTAATCGAATGTCATGATGTATTCAGTTCGTTTTCTAGCTAGAAATCTTAAGGATATAGTTTTTACTTGTATTTAAATAAGTATTCAATAAAATAACTGGATTGGACTGTAAATGACAGTTATAGAAATCGTCGAAATGTTGAATAAAAATATCATTTTTTTTGTATTACGACACTGCTGTTTGAAAATTCAATTTTTTTTCTTAATATTTCACACAAGTTTGTTGATCAACAGTCCGAAAAATCGGTAAAGCTGATATTTGTTTTCGAATTTTCGTTTTAATTGGTTATATTGTCGATCATACTTGCCAATCAGCGTCTTCTGGTGCTGAGAATAATGGAAATGTCTTGAAAGAAGTGATCTTCCATGATCATGCTTTGATTCTTTTCGATGAACTAGATCAAATCACAGCAATTGAGTGTCGTGAGAAGATCATTGATCAATATCCACGTTCACCTAGTTTCGTTTCTGTCTTCGATCAAGAAATGTTCGATTTACAAGGTATTGGCAATTCAAGAGACTTATTCAACGAAATAATAATCGTAAGTCGTGTGTCGTTGGATATCATATTCATTCATCTCATTTCGCCAATGAATCGTCGTAAAGTAAAAGAGTTTATGCATGTTAGGATCCGTATTCGTCCAGAAACCGAAAAGAAAGTCTAGAAGTCGATGAGCGGGCACCTTTCTCGTTTATTGCTCGCTCTCTCCTCGTCGAGTCTGTTTCAACACGAGGTCAACACGAGAGAATGGAGAGAAAAGAAAAAAGAAAAACAAACAACAACAACGAAAAACACACACGAAGGATCGTCCGTCTATATGAGATATAGATGGCGATCCTGACACCTCCCCCCTCACCAAGTTTAGAGGAAGATATCAAATGGTAATAACTGTTCATAGTATTGTTGCTCGCGATGTGATTTGATTCCAATGAACATAATCGAATGCACCGGATTAACATTTGTAGGCTTGATTTGGAGCTGACGAAGGATATTCTTAACCGTGGTGACGTCAAGATTTGACTCCCGTTGAATCACGAATTGATATCGATTGCGCCGATGTCGGGAGCTCGTCTTTTGATTTCGCCGTTTTCTTGCTTTAGTAGATCGTCGATTTTTTTGTTGACGTTTCTTTCGAGTAATCGCCACATCAAAATGACAATGATCCGTCGATTGAGATGATACAACAGTTGCTGGTACTTGTTCAATTAACATTTGCGGAGATAAACTAATAGGATCGACTCGTGTTGTTGAAAAGCATTGTCGATGAACATCGACAGTTGCTAAATCATTAAAAGTAGATGTCGTTGCTAATACCGAAAACATAAGAGGAGAGGAAAATGATGGTACTTGACGTTCATTTGAACCATGAACCGCCAACTCTTCATCACAATCACTCTCTAAATCCGACAGTACAAACTGTGTCCGACCTTGGTCTTTTTGTTTGACTAAAGAAGAAATTGAAAACATACATTTAGATTTTAACAAAATAAAATACTCTCCAATAGCAAGATGTGGGATAAAATTTGATGAGTTGTACATGAACAAGATGAGTTGTGTTAATGATAACACGTCATTCGTAGCGTATGAAATCATATTGTTGCGATGATGAAGAGATAATCGAGAATCCTGATTCGATAAACGATAATCGAGACCAATGGACCATTTCTGAAGTGTTTCGCGTTTGGATAAATATCGTTCGAGCACATAGGCCACTGCATCTTGTAAACTCCAAAGTGCACGAGTAATCATCTTTTGTTCATTAAATATATGAGGTGGAAGAAACAACATTGGATCGTAATCAGGTGCATGTATTTCTAATCGATCATCTACGGCATCATCAACTGCTGTTGTTTTCGAATGTAACCACGAATTAAACCACGAAGAAAACACACCTTGGACATTATGAGAATGTTCGATGTTGGGCAATGAAAATAGGGAGAATTGTAACAAAGGTTTTAGTTCTTCTAATGGATCACCCCAACAGAAAATGTGATTACCATCGCAAAATATGTGTTGAAACAATTTTTGCAAATCGAGGAACCGCTGGGATGTTATTGTTGGTAAAAAACGAACTTCAACGAGCAGGACTACAACTTGTTCGTTATCTGAGGGAATAAAAGCAAGTTGCATAAGCGCCGGACGATTCGTGAACTGATCACCTTCCGTGTCGATACAAAAATTCGTTGTATTTTTCACAGCAAATAACAATTCGTTAGTTTCTTGTACTGTCGTGCATTCATTGATGAAATAAAGAACAAAATGTCCAGGATAGGTATACGACCGAAATAATGAACTATAAAACGTTTCTTTTTCGGCTTTTCCTTTGCGACGATTCATGAATCCGTGATGAGAAGTACCAATCCGTTAAGCCCAAGTGACAACAAACACACCAATTGAAAATTTTTGCCTCGCAGACGATACGTTTGTTTAAATAATAACGCACTAACTTCGCATATCACAATCGATGACGAATTCCACTATGACCACACAGCTAGGACGAGAATTACACCAAGACGAGATCAAGCGTGAAATCGATCATATATTAAAACAGTTAATCAACGTCGCTAACTAAATCGAGTCGCGTAATTAATAATCGAGTAAATTCCCGTGGATGATATCAAGAGATGATAGAGACCAACCCGCACCTAACTGTAATGTAACAACAATTAATGAATCATCCAAGTAAAATTGACCATTGGCCAAATCACTAACGATAAAGATAAACATAAAACGGAATATAGATGACGTAATCGTCAGAAAAAAATCACGGAGTCAAGGATAGAAAACAATAACAACCATAGCGAGAAAAAGAAAAACACATGGTTCAGCAGTGAACCCAAGGAAGAAATGAAACTAAACACCAGTTTGCAAAAAAACAATTAAACAAACAAAAGAGAAAAAAACAAATGAGAAATGAAAGTTAACAAAATTAACAAGCAGAACATGAACGTAATTGCGAGACATGTGCTTGATACACCATATCGTTGAGCTCATCACGAATCCAATATGTGGGATGTCGAACATCGAGAACAATCATTGGATCAGAGTAAATTGATGATAATTTCATTCGTGAACCTGATAATCTTTTGAGTACGCGATCACCCACCTTGAAATGGATATCCAAACGATGGGTATCATATTTTGATTTATAATATCGTTGATGTTTGACGATGTTGTCTTTTGCATGCCGATGATACAATTTCAATGTTCGTCTAAAGTATTGAAAATAATCACTAGGCTTCAAAAATTCGTACTGTGCAATAGGTGGGTCCGGTGGGAGATTTGGTTGTCGTCCGAATTGTAATTGGTAAGGAGAATATTCAGTCGCTGCGTGTCGACCTGTATTATATGCGAATACAATTGACTTCAAATGAATATCCCAATCATTCATGTGAGTATTTGTGACTTTCGCTAATTGACGTTCGAACGTAGCGTTGAATCTTTCGATAGCTCCGTTCGTCTGTGGGTGATACGGGGTAGATTTAATATGATGGCACCCTAATATGTTCGTAAATGCTCCCATTAACTGATTATTGAAGGGCGTTCCTTGGTCCGATAAAATTTGTCGAGGAACACCATAAATGCAAATGTAATGTTCGTAAAGAGCCGCGGCCGTTGTTTGAGCGTTTTGTTTCTCCGTCGGTATTGCAATCACCCATTTTGTGAAATAGTCTGTGACTGCTAATACGTATTTGTGACCGTCTGACGTTGTCGGGAACGGTCCAGAATAATCAATACCAATAATTTGAAATGGACCCCTCGGAGATTCGATAGGATTAAGATGACCAAATGCTTTGTGACGCGCAAAATTAAACTTTTGACATTTCAAACATGTCGAAAGGTAGTTCCTAATTGTATCTTTCATATTTGGCCACCAGTAACGATCCTTCAAATTGTTATGCGTTCGACGAAACCCAAAATGGCCCGCCCACAATGATGCATGATAAGCTTCCACCACTTGAGAAATTAATGTTGATGGTACATAAATTAATTTTTTGTTTATCTTATCATTGCTGACAATCTTGTAAAGAATATCATTCTTCAATTCAAACGAACAATTAGACGACTTTTGTTGTAATTTCATAATTTGTTCTTGGTAAAATGAATCCTGTTTTTGTGCATCGCCAATTTTGGTGACATCAAACTCATGACCAGCCACTCTCGATGGCTGATCATCTTCTGGCGATGATTGTGCTGTTGCTGGCTCATTTTTACCACTATTCAAGACAACTAATTGTGCTTTCGCTTGAGCTCTAGTAGTTATTGCAACGAGCGCCTGAAGACCAGGAACTATGCCAAAATCGTTTTCGATAAACTCGTCGTCGTCTTCAACTTGACGTGGATATCTAGACAAATAATCAGCCATACAATTGCACTTACCCGACACATGACGAATTTCCTTGATGTTGTACTGTTGTAAAATTAATGATATACGATCCACTCGACGATTATTCGATGGTTTAAGATGCATATCGCGAAGCGGACAATGATCTGTATAGACGATAAATTCTCGTCCGAGTAAATATAATTTCATACGTGACACACAGTAATANCCTGTGGAGTGAAGAGAGAGAGATATTCTGCAATACATTGTTCTTCGTACATTTCAGCACATTCTTCTTCGTACATTTCAGCACATTCTTCATACATGGCGTACCATTTTGGCTCTGCAGTTCGACAACTTGTCTTCTTACAATACCACCACGTTTGGAAAAATCCTCCTTTCTCCGTTTTTGATTCGCAAATATAACGCTCGTTTGCATTTCGCCCTACAAACATACATAGTGGACGTTCATGTAGAGAAATGTTTCTCTGCAAAATTGTATCCATTCCACAGCCCATGTTCCAAGAGTTTCTTCATATTGTGTACCAAGTACAACGAATCCCATTCGGTATATTGGCAAGAATTGTTACATATTAATGTCCTATTTTGTGGTGTTGCAGAATTTGATCACAACCAATTTTATCTGAGGTACAACTGCAGTTTAGTCACCCCATGTAACTCTGAAACGCAGAAAAAACGCGTTTGGACGCGTTTGGTGTTTCACATAGTGTAGTGCCGCGTCTAGACGCATCCTATGAACGCGTCTAGACGCATCCTATAAACGCGTCTGAACGCGATAGAATTAAGAAACGCGTCTAGACGCATTTTATAAGCGCGTCTGAACGCGATAGATTCTAAGAAACGCGACCAGGCGCATCATATAAACGCGTCTGGGCGCGTTTATGTGTGTTTTCGGCAGTTAATGCGTTCAAACGCGTCTGAAATGAGAAACTATTTCATTCGAATCATTGAAAATGCATTTTCCACAGTACCTTATTTTAAAAACTTCGTTCATTTACTCTACTAAATTGTATCGTTGTTGTGTGAAACCTCTTAGCCTGTTCGTTCGATATGACTTTCTGTCAACTGTTCTCATTGTAACTCATGAAAAGAACTGAAAGGTTTTCAATTGAAAAACAGAAGCATTAATATAAGTAAAGAGATAATGGAAAATAACAGTTCATCAAAATCATGAACAAAATATGCTGCCATCGCTAAGACTCGCTCATTAGATTCATCAGGCATAGAGATAAGCAATATTTTATTCACCAAAGCCGTGCTGAGGATCAAAATCATTAACAATTCATATTAAAATAATTTCTCACTCAACAAACAAAGATTTCACTATGACATCGCATTATTCTTCTTAAATGAGAATAGGAACAAAGTTGATTTATCTTTCTGATTCAATAGAAAATAATCTGAGTTTTGTCGTTAGAAAAACATCTAAAGTAAGAATTATTAATTAATATTCAGATATATATTCATGAATTTTTTGTACGATTCATTTCATTTGAGATAAGTCCTAGGCGAATTATCTTCTTAAAAGGGAAATCTAACTTGTTCATAGATAAGCCAATATAGTGCAATGGCCTAAGTAAGTAGACTTGTAATTGAAAGGTCTTATGTTCTAGTCTCACTCGTCGAGCCATCTAAATGTATGTATGAAAATTGAATAGTTGTCCTAGTCGAAGCGTGGTGGAAGAGATGAACATCAGGAGAGAATGATGGTGACGCAGGTCAAAGCTGTAGGAATAGAATGCTTTTTTGGAAAAAGTCATCTCTTCGAACGCGTCTGGACGCGTTTTGAAAAAGAAACGCGTTTATGCCGTCAGATGTTTCATCGTCTCTTCGGACGTGTGTGGACGCGTTTTGATAGAGAAACGCGGTTGAACGCATCTGAAAGACGCGTCTGGATGCGTTTGATTAACGCATCTAGATGCATCAAATGTTTCATTTCTATCGCGTTTGGTGCGTTTG